GCTGTATGATAAAAACATGGCCTTGGCCAATCATAGCGTGGTAATTTATATTCTCACTAAGTATCACTAATCCCGTGTCTTTTTTTCAATGTATTTCAAATCATTGGTTATCTTGATCAATTTGGGATGAACGAATAAAGTGTAATGAGAATATTTTCAGCATTCAGGCTGAAAACATATTGAATTGATAACCGCCGCTTATGTAACGCATTCAGCGAGCTCGCACGACTGGCAGAAATTTACCCACAATACTGTAGGTGTCGTTGGCTGTGACCCGTCTCCACCAAAATCTGTGCAAGGCGATTAACCCTTTTCAGCGCCCTGTTCGGGCGCTGGACGACAAGTGAAGATAATTTTTTTCCCCTAAAAAGCAGCTGGGGAATTTTTTTCATAACGTATTTTTTTCAATTATATGGGGACACAACTCTTGAGTTAAGGCATCAGTATTTCCACCCCCCCCCGAGTTCTTCTGTTCAGCCGTTTTTCAACTGGCCTGGTGGCGCATGTCCAGATGTCATATGGGTTCACATACAAAAGTACATAGGCGTCACCGTGTGTGTTTAATGTCATTTCTTTTCGATATAACGGAGTTGTTAGTTGGGATTTTGTAACATAATCTCTTTTGTATGTGTGGTTTCGCTCCCTAGCAAATTGGTTCACCCAACAAGGGAGGTCTTTAATCCTCTTAGTTCTTTTGTGTATGATGTGGGCTCTCCAATTCATTTCAAATTACTCAAGAAAGTCATTCATGGATTATCCACCTGGAGCAGAGGCACCCTTTGCTGGTAGAAAAGAGCCATGTTGGTCAGGAGTGTTTATTTTGCTTTGCAACCGTATCGCGGGCATTTCATAGTTGTTTATGAACCAGCGAAGTTCCGTTCCGTATACCAGGCACGAAATGAGACCGAGGGGTAACCCCAACAAGTCCAATCCCTATACACACTCAAGCCTATCGACACTTAACACACCCCCCTAGCTGTCTGAAAAGAATTCCTGAGATACCAGTATAACAATGACCAATACAAAGGCGGGGGGTCCTCCCTGTACCATAGTTTGCTTAATATGTAGTTCCGACCAAAGGAGCTGCCAGTGCTTAGAAAATTGCACCCTCTCTTGGTTCACCTCGATGCTCATTGTGGCTTGGGGGTCTACTTAGTAGCAGCGTCCGCGTCTAGGATCGTTTTCCGCGTTGTGACTCAACCAAGCACGAGTCCTTAATACGTCAACCGTGGAAATGAAAAAAAAAATTCCTAAACAAATGTACACGTTCTTCGTATAACAAAATGAGAGTGAAAGTGAAAGCGAGAGGGTGCAACATTAACGTACGAACTTTTGAATGAGTGCATCATGGGCTAAAATGCAAGGAAAAGTAGCAAGCTTTGAAAAAAGAACGGCTCAGGGTCTGATGGATGCAACCTGGTAAATAGGCCAGATATATGTCCGCCAAGCTCATTAATAAAATTTGTACACTCAAAATGTTCTGTATTAGAGAGTCCTGAGAGCAATTTGGGTAATTGAAAAAAGTTGCACTCAACCTATGGCCTCGACTCGCGGCTTCCAATTCTGAGCAATTGGGATGCAATCAGGTCCAAAAGTGGCACTATTTAGCTGTTTTGCAGAGGGATGCATTTTCAAAATGGCTACTTCTCCGGGCAGTGAAATGTCCTTCATTTTTAAAGGGGTGGTCTGCTCTGGGTGCGAATTTCTCAAATTTTCATTTGTCAAACCAATAAAAATTGAAAGGAAAATGAAAAAGGACTTGTCAAACATCATTTTGCTGTCCAGCTTGGACACCTGTGAGAGCTGTGAGTATTTCTAGAATAATTGTGAAATTAAAGGATTTATCATTGGTGTCCATGGGAATTTATTTACAAGGGTGCCCCTGATGAAATGTACTCATTTGATTAGGTGCCTAAGTGAACTGTTGGTAAGATACTAGTTGGCTGTATGCCAGACCGAGCTGCTGATGTTGCCGACCCAGTGTCAGCTGGAGCGACTGCGGAGCTCCGCCACTCGCAAAGTTGGACGTCCACCTGGAAGCGAATGGCGTATAGTTTGGGCAGGTAGACGCAGAGCAGGGTCAAGACGGCATTGAGCAGTATGGCCACGCACAGTGTCGCAACCTTCTGCAGAACGGTAGTGGCCGTGATGTAGACGGGGACGGCCGCCATGCCGAAGACCAGCGTAGAGTACACGCTGATAGCGATGAACTTCGACTCGTTGTAGTTGCTGGGCACCCTGCGAGCCTTGAAAGCGTAGTAGCAGCAGGCCAAGACCAAGAGGAGATTGAACAGGGCGGACACCAACGAGCCAAAGCCAAACGCACAGTAAGCCTCGATGTACCCGGTCGGAGGACTAAAATACAACTTGGCCGGTGCNAGTTGGACTAATTAAGGTCCCGGCAGTGCAAATCATGACCTAAGAAAAAAGTTGATGAATAAAACTTCACAGTTTGAGCTTGGGGATGTTATTTTATTTAAAAAACTCAAGTTGCACTTTTGTCATAAATCGATTTATTTTTATAATAATCTCAAATGTTAATTCGCCGATTTATTTTGACATGACGTTCTCGCAAACAGAAGTTTGGGCCTGAGAAGTCGTTTTCATTATCATGACCTTTATATAACACAGATAAAAAAATTGGTTTGTCTTCAACCTAATAATTCACTCAACATATTGCCATAAGTATAAGTGAATACATGTATTGCGCAGCGATCAACCGTTCGACTCTTTTTCAAGTTTGCCTTTTTGTTAACCTCTTCTTGATTTGTTTTGTGTGATTCTTGCTAAAGCCGGAAAGATATAGTTTTTGTGGAAAAGTCACACTCACCATAAACAGAGACACAGAAATCGCCAACATTAGCTGAGGTCGAGGACCGACAAAGCGAGGGCGCTTGTTAGACTTCTTCCCGGTGTCGAAGATCCTGTAGATGCGGTTGACTTTCAGTAGAGTTGGTGCGTAGGTCAGAGTGAAGCACACGGTGATAATGATCTCAGACACACGGCATGAGGCGTCAGTCACCTGAGCGAGCAGTGGAAAGGGAGCTAGGAAGGCCAACGTGAGTCCTAAGATGTTAATGCTGCTCAGTTCACGACTGGCGGCTTTGATCAACACGTGTCGTCGGTAGTAGTAGATTCCGAACGCTGCCAGAAGGGACAGGACTAGTCCAAAGGCGGACAGGATTATGATGACAATGACTGTGGGCTCGCTCCAGCTTGGCGGGGTCGGTATAACGGGTTGACAGACTTCGAATTTCTTGTCTGGCCATTCGTCCACGGGACATCGCCTACACTCTTGGTCAATGACAATGGCTTCATCTGGACATCGTTGACAACCAAAGCAGCATTTTTTCTCCAGAGGCACCTCTATGAAACCGCTTTGACAGTCCTCCCGACAAATTGAGACCGGTTTGCCTCTTGTCTCAGGCCACCTCACAGCGCTCACATTCAGTTCAAGTGGATCTACGGCGGAGGCGCTCCATCGCCCGACTTCAATTGCTCTGACGGTGCTGTCAACAATCTGAAAGTTTAATATTTTGTAATTCCCGCTTGGATCGCCATTGCTGTCAAAACTGTAGTTCCCGGCCAGCCCCTCGAATCTTACATTGAGTAGGTGCTGCAGCAAATCTTGTCCGCTAAGAGTTTGAATTGAGTTACAGTTGGTACCATTGCTACAGCGATCGTGCAACATGTTATGGAGAGCATACGAGAAGGCGTAGACAGCATCAACAACGACATTGTCGTTTGTATTTATGGCGATTGGGCACTCGCTCAGGTCGGAGCAATTGTGTTCCGCCTTCCACTCAACTAACCATGGGGTGCTAGATTCTACAATCTGTATAAACCGGTCGTAATCAAATCCAGGAATGCGCGTGTAACTTATTTGGACAAAGAGGCTACCTTGTAAAAGGGAAACGTCAACACCTTGTCTCTTTAGATGAGAAGGCAATGCCCAGGCATCGCTACCTACAAAGGTCAAATAAGACAGGAGTCCAACATCGGACATTTTTGTCAAGATTTCACTTGCTGTTTGATAATCCATAATCATAACAACGACCTTCGCTTTTGGGAAGCTCGACAACCTACCGACAGCGTCGAGGAGCTCAGTGGCTTTTGCTTGGTGGCGTACCGCAACGGAAAACGCCACACATATGCCATACTTTTCGGCGAGGTCCAGCAAGCTTTGGGCTCCGTGAATTCCGTAGGTGTTCAGCTGAAAATACAGGCCAATGTATTTCCATTCGAACCGCAAAAGTATATCGGCGATGGCCGAGGCCTGGAGACTGTCCGGGGGAACAGTGCGAAGGAAATAAGGGAACCTGCGCTTGTCGCTCAGTTCATTGCTCGTTGCGAACGGGGAGATAACGGGGATGCTGTACAAGCTAGCTGCCTGAGCTGTCGGAATGGTAGTTGCGCTCGTTTGCGTACCTATGATGCACAGTAGACTGCCGTTGTCTGGCGGGCTGATATTTGGGAACTGGACATCCTCTTGGGGTCTCTCCGACGTGCTAGCCAGACTGAATGCGGTCCACAGCGACAGAGTCTCTGAGTAACAGTTGTCGCGAATGTCGTAGCCGATGGTGACATTTGGCAAGAGATCCTCCCGGTCGTTGATCTGCTCGATTGCAAACATCATAATGGCGCTCAATTCGATCCCCCAGCTGTACAATCCTGCACTGCACGGTGCTCCGGAGGACCAGCGGTGAATCGGAAAACTGGCCCCAAGGATAACATCCCCTGGCCTGGTCACACTGGCGTGCGCTGCGCTGGGGATGGTGCCCGCAAACGCTGGCTTTGAAGTCGGCACAAGCATCATCAGCCCTACAAACAAAGCCATGTTCAAACTCGTAAATTTTGATCTCCAGAAAAATCAACCAGAAAAAGCTGCACCTAAAAAACTTGCCTACCATCTAATCAATAAGACTGCGTCGGTTATCTGTAATCGTCCCTTTTGCTTCGGTAAATTGCATCCTGGTACACCGTGCGTTTCTGTAGCCCCGATTGCTTTTATCAGATTCAACTGCAAAGTGTCGTGCCTTTTGCAGTGAATAACGATTGTGCGCAGCTGAAAGTGAGCAGCTCAGAGTATACACAATCTCAAGGACCATCTCTTTGAATGGATCACGTGGTAGCATCTTACCGGACTGCATGTTGATATCGAGAGTCTTTAATATTCACCACCGTGCTTTTTGTTGTTAAGTCACGCCCAAGTGTCCTACTACGGTGGTGTACGTCCGTGCGTGACCACGGCAACGTAAGAAATTGACTTGGTCTCTCACTCTATTTTTAAGAGAGATATCTTTATTTACAGATATTTGTATTTCTTATAGAGAAATATCCAAAGAAGTAATTAAATCTCTATTTCTAATAAAGATATCTCTATTGGAAAAAGAGATATCTCTGTTTCACGATCAAATGCTAACTCTTCACGTCTAGAAATAGAGATGTCTGTATTTTGTGATTAAATGTCAAATTTGCACGCCATAGTTCATCATAACATATCGTATCCGGCTCATACACAGTTTGTTTCTGTACTCGAGCTGAAAGGAGTCCCACTGATTTCCCTCGAGGGAGTGAGGGGAACTAAGCTATCAATTTGTTCATTGAGGAGAAAAAAGTGGACAAGAAATTGATAAGTCACGATTTTAGAATGTTTTCTAGAGAGAAAAGCAAAAATGTTGGAAAGTTGTAGGGGAAAAACAGAGGCAAAGTAGGCCTGGTTAATCTGTGTGCAAGCACAAAAATATGACTTTTGAAGGCGGCGGACTACTCGAACCCTGAAAAAGAGATTGTTAGTGTCTCATATTTTAAAATTGCACACTAATGAAGTCTGCCGCACGAACAAATCTGGTTCCTTGACAATCCTGAGGTCCCATCCTCGGAAGGGTGCATACTGGGGTTACGACGCTTGCATATAGGGTATTAGGCTCGAAGCTGATTTTCTCCTACCAAACAACTTCAAGAAATAGAAAATATCAATGTCATTTAAAGTCATGACATGCGTTTTATATACATGTAAATAAATCAAATGATAAATTTAGTAAACGCCTTCATGACACACTTGTTTAACAAGAAACTTAAGGACAGAAAAAGACATACAATGCATGACGCAGAAAGGCCGTTGTATTATCATTTAGAAACTGTATCCCGTATAAAATTGTCAGTATTATTGCCATGGTAACAGTGCTCCAATTTAGAAGGGGGGGTGTTGTAAGAGCAGGATTTTATTGCCTGCTGGCGTGGGTAAACGCGCTAACTAAAATGATTATTCCGTTAAGGCTGTTCGTATAACCATGGATGAAGGACACAGGAGTTTGAACTGCCTGTGTCACTGTGTGGCCAATTACCGATTTCTGGCGTATACGGTCTGTCCATATAGCCAGTGCGCATTTAAGCGCTCGCTACGCACCATCCGTTTCTCGCCCATGAGGCCCCTTTGTACCGTTTGATTATTGCTGCAATTTCGTCGCTCGTGATCTGCATCCTTAAAACTTTGTTTGTACTGAAGTATGGGAAACTGAATATTCCTATCTTTGTTGGTGCCTGGTATAATCCCACATCAAATTTAGTGCTTGCGCAGTTGCCTGTGTTAGGCTGATGCGTTAAGTATTCTTGTGCAGTTATAGCCCTTCTCTAACGCCTTTTTTCAGGAGTTATTTGGGATTAAAGAACCAAGTTGCACATTTTTGTGTATTATTTGAATCATTGTTATTCCGGCATCTCTAAAGAAGTATATTTTGTTTGATCTCATGATCACTCGTGATGAAATAGCGCATTTTATTTGTTATTTGTTATGAGCTTTGCTCTCAAGTGGTGGTCACATGTTGTTGGCCAGTCTTAGCTAAATTCGCACCAAGTCTTGCTTTGATTGGCCCCACTTGTCCAGAGAACTAAGGTAAGGTAATAACGGACATTTTTGGAATGATTTCTGTTATTTGTCTGACTGGGAGGCGGCGATCATCGAACTCTTTCAAATGCCAATTTGTAACTCCTTTTGTGCCCTTCCTAAATGGTTGAACGTCTCAGAAAGACTTTCCCTGATCCTGAAAAATACAACATAGGGACAATTTGACATTTCTCACCCAGTGAGTATTTGCACCATCAAGAGTGAACATCACCAAAATATGAACAGTTAGTGCATTTTTGTTGGTGTGTGTGAAATTGCGATAACCTTTGTCATGAACAAATCAGGAATTCAAATCTCGATTTTACGAGCGCAGAGAAAAGCTGTATTAAGGATGTAGTGGTGCTCCTTTTTGTATTAAAATGCTGGAATCGAGATTACCTAAGAAAATTAAAACACGCAGCAATACGATGCTGAAATTCGTATACAGTATTATGATGAAAGCAAAGCATTTTGGCTTCTTCACGAGTCCCGACGCTACGTTTCCATTCATGCCCAAAGGCTCTCGTTCTGGAATTCGTCGGCCGTTTCGATGATTAATTTAAGCCCAGTACGTTTTATAGGGCAGTATTGCCGTGAATAAATTCAATCAGGAACGCGCTAGGTGGAGAATTTGCAAGCCAAGACATATCTCAAGATATGTGTAACCATTTGCTCTGATCACATGGAAAAGTCCAAAAGTCAGGAGCAATTCAGTACACTGTCAACAATTTTAATTTAAAGATTTTTGTCAATAAAGATATGACCACGCTTTACCCCTATTTCGAATATTTTCGACTGTTACCTTTTTTTCTTTAATATGCAAAATAGTAACATGCATTTGCTTACCTTCCGTCGCAGTAACCGTGATACCATACAGGTATCAAACAGCACTAGCACAATGCCAGTGCCAAAGATCAAGTTCTCTCTTAGTCATTCAACGCTTATTCGACAGCGACATGACACATAGGGCCCAAGCGTAGTTTCTTTGGTGCGAGACAAGCCGACTTATAAACTGACCTGTCTGCTCGTAAAACACGAGACAGAAAAATGCAAGGTGGTGCAAGCTCCCTTGGAATTCATTAAACAGTAACTAAAGGTGCAACCCTGGCCCTGGACAATGCAGAAGCTGAGCCTTCGTCCACAATTTTTATATTATCACTTAAAATAACGAAAGAGGTTGTTTTACTCCTACTTATTCTCAGATGTGGAACATGCATAGCCTATGCATGTAAACACGCAGTGTATCAGTATCGCTACATACGATATTCACACAAGCTTAGCAAAAATCGTCTTCTGACCATTGATAACAGTCAATCTCAAGCTGTCTGCTCTGCCCAGGGCGCAGCACAGGAGCAGTATCATATTTCGCCTTTCAGTGCTAGACTGTATGCATGTGTCTGCCATTTTGAATTTAACGTGAGGTACAAACATTTCATCTTGGGAACATGAGTTAAAATAACAGTGAAAAAAAGTTAAATACAAAGTCGTGCCATATTTTGTGTAAAATCTAGAAGTAACTTGTACCTAAATGTTGTAAGCAATATTAAAACAAATGAAAGTGAAATTTAGAACCCAAAAGAGACTGGCACCACCCAAAT